AACTAACAGTTTAAAATTATATACATGATATATTCTTTATAATATTATTTATGTATATATATATATATATACATAAATTAAATGTTAATTAATTTACTGAATTAATGTTTATGTTATGTTATATATTTTTTTAATTAAAATTTAAAATATTATACAATTTATACAATTAAACAAATATTATACAATTTTTTAGCAAATGGAATTTGAATGGGTACTTCATGAAGAAGTTCATTCTTCATTATCACAACTAAGGAATATTTTAATGGTATGTTAAAGACATATAACTGGATTTTAATAAAATTATTAATAAAATAATTAAAGAAATAATTTCTATTTTTTATTAATTATTTTATTTTATACTATAGGAATGTGCACAAAGATTTCCATTAGCATTATTTGGCAATGATCAACATAATAAAACGGACAGATTTGTATTTGCTGCACCACATGATCAAGTAAAATGTGTAGCTGTTTTAACTGGTGACAGTATTACAAATGCAGTAAGTATCAATTATTTTTCTATTTTGTAATTAATATTAATATAATTAATATATCTTTAAAGCAAAATAATTTTAAATATTATATAGTGTAATATGTAGTATAATTAATTAATACAATTAATTATATTTTATAATTTAAAGAAACATATTTATAGGAAGTTAATTTTAAAATACAACGTCAGCAAAATATTAATATGAGGACAAGTATACAAACAGAACATCCTTGGAAATTACAACAAATACAAGATGCTGCTAATCATTTACAACAAGCAATTGCTCACATAGATAATGTTGATCGACATTATCCTTTTAAAACATCTGATGAAGTTATGCATGTATTAGGAAATATTCTTGGTTGTCTTCAACGCAGTCGTACTAGTTTAATTGTTCCTAGAAAGAAAACTATTGATGATCTGATTAAAAGTCGTAATATGGTGAGTGAATATTTTTGGTAAATATTTAATTACAATATGATATTTCATGTATTTATTATCATTTCTAAATATATGAAAATGATTAAATAATATAAAACATTTAGAACAAATAAAATACAATTTTTATTTCAAAATTTTCAAAAAATTATACTCAATATTAATTTTAATTGTAAGATATTTACATAATTCATATATCTTCATATAAGTTGAATTTTTTTATTACAGAAATCATTAAATCCTAATCTTCCAGAGAATTTGGCTATTAGTTTTTATATCCAAAGTTATAAATTGGTCTTAGCAATATATCAATTGGAAAATGCACATGGAAGTGTTAAATATGAAACACAGCAAGCAGAATGTAGTGTTCCATGGTTAAATGATGCTTTAGTATTGCTTACTATAGCATTACAACTTTGTCAACGATTAAAAGATAAGGTTAGTTTATCTATGTTTTTTGATATAATATTAAATCCTCTTTCTTAATTTTATTTAATATATTTTTTAGATTTGTGTTTTTTCCCAATACAAAGATTTTACAGTTGGTTCTCATGTTCCTTCTACAGTGGGTTGGTAATAAAAATATATTTAAATAATCATTAATGTAAAAATTAGTTCCGTATATATATTAGAATATCTCATTTAATGCTCTGGTAGCATTTTTAAATTTCGTTTTTATAAATGAAATTTCGTTCTGGAAATATTAATATTAACATTAAATATAACATTAATATTAAAAGGTTATATTAATTTGAAAAATAAATTTTACCTAGCATATTTTACACAAAAGAAATTCTTGTATATTAATACAAGATCTGAGACTTATTGTCATTTATTAAATATTTTAGTAATTAATTATGTCCATCTATTTCTTGATTTTTTCTAATAATTTTTTATTGAATTAATTAAACATGAAATAATTAAAATTTAGGTTTATCATATTTCCTGTGATTTTTTAGAATATTATAATAATTTTTTATTAGATTTTAATTTTTCGTTTTCAAGAAAATATAAATGAATTTAAAATTACTAACTTTAATTATTTTATGTTCAATTATTATTTTATTATTTTAATTATTTATTTACCAAAGAAAATACATTATAAAATATAAAATATACATTATCATGGTATGACGTTCCTTTCATCATACTATATCTATGTATTTGTATATAGATATTTGAAATAGTATTAAATTAACATAATTATTAATTAAATTATTCTAATTAATATTGATCAATTAATTAACTTATTAATATTGATTGTTATTTATAATTAAAAAATATCCAATTTATAAGATTTTTAATATCATTATATTATAAATATATCAGTTTTTAATGTTAAAAACGATTGTTATATTGAGTTAAGTGGAACATTTTTTATTCTATTTTTTAAATATTATTCTATGTTTTAATGAATCAATGTATAATTTTACATTTAAATTTTGTATTTTATACTTATTTTCTATTTACATTTTTTTGTTCTCTTATTATTATTTATGTTCTCTTATTGATATAATATATATAAACAAGTGAAATAATCTAAATTTAATATAATATTTATTTTTACTTATTTTCCATATAACTCAATAAAAATTAATGATTATTATTTATTTTTAGTTATATATTTGAATTACAAATACTTTACTATATTAATTGATCAAAGTAATTATGTGTGAATTAAGAATTTTATTATATAAAGATAAATTATATTTTTTTCTTAAAATGTAAAAATTTTAATTATTGTTTTTAGTATTATCAATTAAAATTTATGCATTATATTATACAAATATTATTGGATAAATCACAAATTAAATGTAATTATTTTATTTTATTTACTCATATGTAAAATAAGAATAATGAAATGTTATAAATTTATAAATTTACAAGTGCTGTGGTTTTACATATTAAATGTTTACAATTTCAATTTATTTATATTATTTTATAATATATAAATAGTAATTTGTTTATATTATATAATATTATGATTAAATATGTGACATGAAATATAAAACAGTACTTAAGTAATTATTAAAATAATTCTGTATATTTATTTTTTGCAATTTATTTTTTTTTTAATTTGAAAATTAGTAAATATAAAGCAATTTATATTTTATAATATAATTTATATAATTTTTAATTATTAATTATTATGTTAATTTTTAATTATTTTAATTATGTTTATAATATTTAAATCAAAGAAATTAATATATGTAGATATTTCACACATATGTGTATTATATTTAAGAAAAATAATATACTTACATGTAATTTTAAATATTTTGAATTTAGAAATAATAAAAAATTTATTATTTAGGAAAGACAAAATTTTTACAATATTAGAAATTACAGTACATAATAGTATATTAGTATATATTATTCTTATTGCAGGATGTTAATTATTTGTATAATTAATATATATAAAAATATATAAAATTTATATATTTTTCATGTTTATAAAATTCCAATAAACAACAAAAATTATTAATTAAGTAGTGAAATGATAGAATAATAGAATAGAATAGTATCATAATAGAATAGTATCATGCCAAACAACACAATTTTTGAGAATATCATAATTTAAATGTTTTAAAAATTAGAGTTCACATAGTTATAATATATATAAAAAAAATTTATTAAATATTATATATAATTGTTAATCTTAGCTAAAATAGCATTAAACAATTTTTTTAATCTTTCATTATTGGAAATTGTAATCCATTAAAATATATTTGCTAAAATTCTTGCATGTGTTTTTCATGAATCAAATATTATTGTTGGGATTTTTGAATGATTTTTTCATATTTTTTCAAATATCTTAAATACATACACTGTCGTAGTAATCTTGAGGCATGACAATTAATAAGAAAAATGTGATTATATTATAATCAGTACTATTATTCTTAAAGAAAAATATCTATTAATTTTAGCTAATTTATAAAATTATTGGATTTATAATTATTATTGCAATATTATATTTTGCATAGAAATAATCATTTTGATTAAATTATAAATAATATTTTACAAAATTCTGAACAATTCATAATAAATTCTTCCCATAATATATCCTAATCTATTCTATAATAAAATCAAATAGGAAAAGTAAGTTTATTTCAATAATTGAATATAATAAAATAGTACAATCATATTAACATTATTTATTAAATAATTCTTTTTATCTAATTTTGTCTGAAGAATATATAATAAATTTTATTAAATAATTTAGTATCATTAAAGCGATTTATATAATAAGTATAGATAATAAGTTAAGTTATTGTAGATAATAAATTACTTACGTAATCAGTTTTTTCTATACAGTTATAAAAATTTATTGTAATTTTGTAGTACAAAATACATTGCAATATATATATAAAATTATATTTTATTTACTAAAATATAGCAAAATTTACAATTTTTATACAATATAATTTTATTACAATAATACATTTTAATCATCGAACATACTCATTACATTTTAATTTATATTTCAATTAATTTTATTAAGCATCAAAAATTCTAAAAAAAGTAAAGCGCCTGCGCAAGTATACATGTAAATACTTATATATAATAGAGTTTAAATATGTATGTATTAAGCTTAAATGACGTGAGCGCGCAGCAATTCGCGCCAGCGATGATGACAGCAGACGACAATTTACTTGATACGCATCATATCACTGTTAAAATTTCACACAATTTCTTTATTAAATTACATATCATTCTACTATCATATCAATGCTATAAATGAAAAAAATATAATTATATGTAAATAAAATATATTTTTAATGGTTAAAATTTGATGAATTCTTTGTGAAAGTGTTAAGTGTTAAAAAAAAGCGCACAACATGGAAGTATTAGATCCTAGTATCTCGAGAGATGATCAGCCTTTGTGTGTTAATGATTTTTTGGAAAAAGGTATATTTTTAATATTTTGTTATTATATTAATTGTACAATTTATTTTCATCTATATATAAATATTTTTTTTTAATAAATATGTTTATATTATTGTATCTTGAAGACATTCAAGGTTTCCAAAGACCTCGTAGCGTGGGAAGGCATTGTTTGGAAACAAAGAATTGATAGGGTGACACATAAATTATTCGCAATACTGTCAGCTGTCAAGCAATTTCTAAATGTTATTTTATGCGGATCATAGATCGGACATTCTGAAAACTTTTTAATGATTATTTTTCTTTTAAGAATGTATGTTATGATTATGCCTTAAATTTTTATTTATTTTTAATATATTTATAATATATAAATAAAAATTTTGCAATTAAGTATACAAATATATTAAAAACACATAATAACAAATGTCAAGAAAAAGAAAGAATCAAAAATTTTATAAAAAATTATCAGAAGATATACCAGGTTAACTCAAAATAGCATTATAATTAAAAATTAAGTTAAATTTTATATACTTTATATACTTACTTAAAAGAGAATTCAGAAAAGAATATTTAAATCTTAAATATTTGAAAAATTTAATTCTGTTACAAGTTTGTTAGCATTCATAATTTTCTAAATATTTTAATATAAATGTATATTATTTAATATTAAAAAATATATATATATATTAATATTAAAAATGTATATATATATTATAATATTATAATTTTAATCATATTTTAAGAAAGAAAGAAAGTTATATTATATAAAAATTGAATTAACAGTTACAAAAGAAGATAATGATTAAAATATTATATAGATTTTTAAATTTTTAAATTTATTTAGATTTTTAAATTTAAAATAATTAAAAATTTATGAAAGAATATAAGTTTTGTATATTTTTTATAATTATTAAATAATCAAAATCTTAATGAATTTAATTATGTAAAATTTTATTTTTAGTTACTATACCAGATATTCCACCTGATACAAAATCATGCATAAAAGCAAGGCATACATTAGGTTTTTTAGGATTTCTAGGATTTGCACTTGTGTATGCCATGAGAGTGAATTTATCTGTGGCTATTGTTTCAATGGTTAATCAAACAGCAGTACCACATGATGATGATAATAATACCACAGATGTTTGTCCTAAAGAAAAACCAATTAATGGAACATTTACACCAGTAAGTTTATTTAATAAGTTTATTAATTTATAACTTTAATTAATAAATTATTTTTAGCTAGTAAAATATATTTTATATTTTAATATATATTATATTTTATATGTATTATATTTTAATATGTTACAAATATTTTTTCATTTATATTAATCATATTTTTAATATTATATTAAATATATTTTTAACATACTATTTAAACATATATATTTTATATATATAATATAATAAAATTAAATGATTATTAAATAAGTACTAAGTTATATTTTATAATTTGATATATTCTATATGTGTAATATGTGTAATATTCTATATACATAATACTGATGTGAATCAAATGTTAACATTAGTTTTGTCTTTATCATCATTTTATTCATTTATCATTATTATTCATATAAACTTATCATTTTTAGTATGACCTCAACATGTTTTTTAACGCCTACATTTTCTGCTTTTATCTTATTATGTATCTGTGTTCTTTAAATACTTAAATATTAGTCAAGATATTTTAATATTATATGTTTCTAATATATTTTGAAAATAATATTTTAATTTATAAAAATTTTATAAGAATCTAATATAAATAAAATTAATTTTGAATTTTAAAAAAGAAAGTTGATAATTGCAATTATGTTAAAAAGTAATATAAATTTTCAAAGAGTGCAGGAGAATTTAATTGGGATGAAAAAATACAAGGTATTATATTGGGTGCTTTTTTCATTGGTTATGTAACTACAAATGTTCCTGGTGGTAGAATGGCGGAAAAATTTGGTGGAAAACTCATATATGGATTAGGAGTATTTCTGACTGCTGTATTGACTGTAATTAGTCCTTTTGCAGCTTATTTAGGATTGATACCATTCTTAGCTGTACGGGTAGCAGAAGGATTTACAGAGGTATTTTTATATTGAGATATTAGAGGTATTATTATATTGTAAATTAATACATTTGAAAAATTTAAAAAATTTTGTTTTTTTTATAAATAGGGTGTTACATTCCCTGCAATGCATAGCATGTTAGCACTCTGGGTACCTCCTTTAGAAAGAAGCAAATTTGCTGCTGTAGTATATGCAGGTAATTATTTCTTCTTTCATTATATAATAAATTTGATTTATCATATTTGTTTTTATGTAGGTGCAAATTTTGGAACTGTCATATCTTTACCAGTAAGTGGATGGCTTTGTTCATTAGAATTTTGGGGTGGATGGCCTCTTGCATTTTATTTATTTGGAGGGCTTGGTATTATATGGTATGCATTTTGGCTAATTTTTGTGTTTGATACACCTGCACAACATACAAAAATTGATCCTTTAGAAAGAGCATATATTGAAGCTACTGTAGAAAAGAAGGATGAGGTTTATTTCAATTTTAATAAATTAAATTTATATATTATAATGGATAAAATTTAAATTAATATATTTTATAACAGGATGATACAGGAGTTCCTTGGTTATCAATATTTACATCACTGCCCATGTGGGCTATAGCTATTACACAATGTGGACAATCATGGGCATTTTATACACTTTTGACAGAATTACCAACATATATGGATAAAATTTTGCATTTCGATGTACAACAGGATGCATTCTTTTCAGCATTGCCTTATTTAAGTTCTTGGTTAGTCGGTCTCGGTATTTCAAGTTTCGCAGATGCTCTCCTTGCCCGTCAGCTTTTATCTCCTTTAACATCGTTCAAGTTATGGAACACAGTGGCTTCATTAGGACCCAGTCTCAGTTTTATTGGTGCTATTTGGGCTGAATGTGATCGTATGATGGTTCTGATGATGCTTGCTGGATTAGGATCTCTACAAGGTGCAGTTTATGCAGGAAATCAAATGAATCATATTGCATTAGCACCTCGATTTGCGGGAACTCTTTATGGACTTACAAATGCTGCTGCAAATGCGTGTGGATTTTTAGCTCCATATGTTATTGGAATGATTGTTCAGGGACATGTTAGTATAAATACATGCGATTTTATATTTTTATAATTTTTATGTGTTATAAAAATATTAAATTTATTATATAATTATATTTTATCATGTATTACAGGAAACATTGGCACGTTGGCATACAGTATTCTGGTTAGCAGCAGGAATAAACATGGCAACTAATTGTTTTTATTTAATTTTTGCATCTGCCACAGAACAACCATGGAGTAGAGGTACTAGTTGATGACAAAATTTCGTTACACACGAAATATTTAATATGGAAAATAATTTACCATTGGATCGAATTGCGCTTAGTTCATTTTAGTTAATTTTTATAATATTGATCGCTTCTGTCATTTAGGCACAAAGTTTTTTTTTAATTTCAAGTTTGATATATATTAATAATTTCTTATTGAATGAAATATTTCAATCAATGAGTTATTATATTATTTTGGCAAAATAATACATAATTACATTAGCTAAATTAGTAATTAGTAAAAATTTATTTGCATCAGTATTAAATATTATATTAATGAAGTTCAAATATTGAACTTTGTGTATCATTCCAATGTTCACATGACAATATGACTTTTAAAGCTTTTATTTTTGATTTTTAATTTAATATAATAATAACTAGGTTTAAAAAAAGATGGATATAATCTAAAATTTATTTCTAATTTAGAAATAATTTAATTTATTTTAATCTCATCGAAAAATGTAAATTATCAAAATATTTTTTATATTTATAAAATGAAAAATATTGAAGAGTCTATATTCTTGTTTATATATGTAAGAGTTTTATATGTACATAAAAACAATCATTCATTTAAAATGATTGAGAATATAGAGAATATAGAGAATATATAATATAGAGCAGGATTTAATAATTTTTAAATGGATAATTGAATTTTTATTTTATAATTAAAAAAATGATAAACATGCACAGCTTTTGTGCAATCAAAATGCAAGATTATAAATTGTCTTTATATTTCTTATGATGATAGTGTAATAATAAAATGATTTATAAATAAAAAAATTTATAATAAAGAATAAATTTCGATATGAAAATTATAAAAATATTAACAAAAATAATATATATTATATCTATAGTAAAATCTTCTATGTTAAGAAAACAAAAAGATAATTTTATAAAGATAATTTTTATAATTAAATTTATTAGTAAAATAATAAATATAATTAAAAAATTGTTGTGTCCTTGAATACGAATATAATTAGGATTACATGGAGATTAACTTCAAAAGCAATATAAATTATTATAATTATAAAGAATTTTAGTTCATTAAATTAAATTAAATTAAATTAAATTAAATTAAATTGAAAAAGTTTGAGATATATATTGATCTTTATTTCCTTAAATGTATTATTGCAATGATTACTTCGGATATATATAAATGAAAATTATATAAAACGGAGAAATGGACAGAATATTTTCGATATTCGATAAATATAGATAAATTGTTTTTATCTATTTTATTGGATGTTTTAAATTATAACATATAATTATAATATAATCCTAATTTAATTCTTATGACACGATAAGATAATAATATAGTAATTTAGACGTTATTTTTTTTACAAAAAATTAATAAAATTTAAAGTAAATTATAAATATATTTATTTATACATAAAATGTCATAAAAAAAATAATTATTGCAAATAATTTCTGGTATAAAATACCATGTTACTATGTATTATATTGTAACTAGTTTTGTAATACATATAAATTAATTATAGAAATTATTTGAAAAATGTTTACACAAATAACATTTAATTAAAAAAAAAAAGTAAAAAATTTATACAAAATTTGTTCATATTTGATATGCATGTAATGATTATTATATCATATTTGACAAGTGAAAAAAAAAAGAAGCAATAATAACTATTTAATTTATATAAGCACTGATTTCTATATTTTTAATTAGTTTTAATTATTTTCATTATTTTTATGTCAAAAATAAAATGATTAATGCATGCATTATGATAATTCATGTAAAAAATGAATGAAAAATATCTTACTTTTTGAATTTTACAGATATACACACACACATATAGAAATGTAAAATATTTAAATAATGATAATAAAGAACAAAATTATATTTACAAAATAAATTATGCAATCTAGCTGGTCCTTAATGTATATATGCATGTATGTTATTTATTTTTCAATTACTTATTAAAAATGTAAGAAAAAAGTATAACAAAATTTTAAATAACAAAATTTTTTTAAAATTACTATCAAATTGTTTGATAATTTGAAAATTAATTTTATAATATAAAAATATAATATTAGCTTGTGCTTAAATCTTCCTTTTTCTTAGCAGTAAGTTCAAAAATCATATCTCGCATGCGACTTAAATCCATCAACTCTGCTTTCATTTTTTTAATTGTTTCTTCCTTTTCAGCAATATTTTTTTCATATGTATTTACTAATTGTGATAATTGTTGAGTTTCTTGTTTGAGTGCAGATATATCTTTTTGATTCGATTGAATTTCCGCAGTTTTTAGTTCTATTATCTATTTGATATTGAATATATTACATATTAGCAAATCTATTATAACTTGAATTTTTATGAACATACCTGATCTTTTTTATTTAATTGGTCCTGCATTTTAAGAAGTAATTTACTTAATTCATGATTTTTATTAGTCATTTCTGTAGTTTTTGCATCTGCATTTGAACATTCAACTTCCAATTCCTTTATTTTCTTAGTTAATATTTCAATTCTATTAATACTACTTTCTAATTCATGTTTATGTTGCACAAGTACTACATTTAAATGATCAATATTAGCAGATTTTTCTGTTACTATCTTTTTTAAACCTTCGATTTCCTATGAACATAATTTTTCTATTTTGAAGTTTTAACTTAAATTTTTATTTTATAAATTCATTATGATATCAACCTGTTTTTTTATAGTAACTGCTTTTTTACTTTGCTCTTCTGCTTCAGCAAGTTTTACAGTTAATGTAGATTTTACTCCTTCTAAACATTGTTGTGTGTCAAATAACATTTGATGTAAACGGCTTGATTCAGCTACTACTTGTGCCAATCTATGCTGTAAACTGGTTCCATGATTACTTGCTGCTTCTAAACTAGATTGCATAGCTCGTTCTGCATGTCTCATAACTGCTAACTTTTATGTTATAAAAATATAAAAAATATAAAATTATTTTATGCTTATAATAAAATATATTATAACAAAAATATACCTTATATTCATATAATTCCATCACTGCTGATGTAGTAATATCATTGATTTGATTTGATTCATAAGTTCTTTTCAATTTTGCTAAAAATGCATCAAGCCGTTCTTCTTGTGCGAAAGAAAACAGTGGAGCCATTTCATTATTTGCATTTATAGTCATTTTACTTCCAATATTTGTTACCATTCCAGGAGTACTTTGTACCAATATCAAAGGCTCCAGTTGCTTCATACAAAGCGCCACCGCGGAAACACTTGTCACACAAAAACATGGGATACAATTTGCGTGTGATAGTGAATTTGTCTAGAGTTGTCATCAATAAAAATTAAAATAATATGTTGCTAAAGTATTTAATTTTAATAGTGAAGACAGAGTAATGTTTTATTTGAGTGACAGTAAAATCTGTTAAAATCTTTGTGCTTTGATAAGTGATTAAAAAGTATGGTAGAAACCTACCATTCCTGGGGAAATCCTACAGTAGATGTCAATTGTAGGACTTTTTGTTTAACATCTGCATCACCAATAAATAATGCATGAGCCATAATCATTTGAATTTGTTTTTTTCTAAGCAACTCAGAATATAATGTTAACCAATTTGAATTATGAGCTGCTAAATCAGCAGTCAATGCTAATGCATGAATACATAAACTTGTAGTAGGATTCTAGAAAACATAATACCATATTATGTTTATTAAAAAATTATAGTTATATTTTAAGAATTAAAAATTTAGTACTTGAATAAAATTCCCTGGCCAATCATTAGTTGCATATGTTTCAGAATCTAACATTGCACTTAATAATTTACGTATCATTTGTTCATTCAAGGACTGCATTACTTTTGTCCTTAGTGTAGAAGTTTTAACCATTTCTTGAAATAATTGCATTAATTCTGCTAATTTTATTTCTCTTTCTAAAGTTAATTCACATTTTTCTTGAACTTCATCATTTTCTGAATTTATTATAAGCATTAAAACAGAAGCATCTAATTCTGCTAAGACCTCAGAGGATGATTTAGTGCGTCGTGCATCAATTACAGTAACTCTTATCAAAGCTAATGCTTTGGAACATACCTAATTTAAAAATAATTATTAATCTACAATAATTCTTATCTTTATTTCAAATGAAAATATACCTGTTCTACAGGAACCCAGGTCATAGCAGTTTTTACACATAAAGGATACAAAGACACTAAAGCAGATAATTTTAATTTTACTAAAGATGATAAAAATTCCATCATGAGAGCAACACATTCAGGATCTGCATTATCTTCCAATGTAGCCAATACATTTTCTACATCTCTATCATAACTTAACATAATAAAAAATGAAATTATTGAATGAAATATTTTATATCAAATAATATTGAATTGGAAATTATAAAATAACTTACTGTGAATATGTAAGTAACACAGCATGAGAATGCTCATTTTGTCCAACATCATCAAAAAAATCTATAATGTGTTTTAGCAATAAAACATCTTTTTGTTTCATTGCAGTAATAAGACTGCTGAATGTGACAGCAGCAAAATCCAAAATATATTTTTCTGAAATATTTGTATTTGTATGTTCTAATATAATTAATAGTTTACAACATTGTACACTGGTATTAACATTGCAATGTTGCAATTTTAACAAAGTACGTATAAATGCTTTTGTATCAATTGTTCTCATTAGTACATATACAGCTGGAAGATTTTTATAACAAAGATTCACTAATACACCCAATGAAAGTGCAATAATATTTTCTTCTTTAGATTGTATCACCCATTGTGTTAATATTGATATCAAATAAGGTAAATGAGCTTCTTGCCATGAAATTTTTATACCATATGTTAATTCTTGAAGTAATTTTAATACTCGTATTCTCTTTTCACTTGTTAAATTTGCCTATGAAATTGTTATACAAAAATATATTATATAAATATTAAGATATTAATATATTTAAAATTTTGATGTTTTATATTAGAATTTCATAAAATAAAATATTTAAAATATACAAATTAAAAAAAATTTAATATTTTTAATTATTGAAATAAAAAAATTTTATTATAAATTAAAAATATAGATCTCAAAT